TTAGAAAAAATTTTCAATGAAAAATATTAATAAATAAGCCTGTGATGGTGAACTCGTTATCGGATCATCTGAAACAAGAAAATTTATACGAGTTTTAAAGGTAATGTATTTCTCGTGGTAATCAGAAAAAGTTTTTTTTCTATTTTTTGCAGCACTTGGAAGTGAAAGGAGCGATTTTAGCTCAAAAAAATAGAAAAAAATTAAATAAAATCTCCATCTGATTACCTGTTGATTTATGTGAAGAAGTAAAATTCAAATTTTAAAAGGATCGGTTCATTAGATTTTGATTTGTAATGTTCACGAACTTCAAAAATACCGTTTTCGGGAAAATCGATTTGAACGTTTTTATACATCAAAAGTCAGTTATCACGACCGGTCGTGTAAAACGCTGTAACTCCGTTAGTTTGACTATAATTGGTCAAAATTTGTACACAATATTCTCGACATATTGGTCGTTTAGAAAAATAAAATAAAATAAATAAAATTTTAAAACCTTCGAGAAACCCCACCCTTTAATAAAATAGAAAAATTAAATTTTTTGAAATCCGTAAACCCATGTAACCCGTTAAGCTTGCTAACACATTCAAACCAATTATCAGATTTAGTGTCGAATACTAACCAATCACATAAATGAAAAGACAATTTTCTGTGTTTGATATTAGTATTTATTTTTCACATTAATTGTATATACTAGAGATAAAAATTATATTCAACTGTATTAAAGTTGCTTTCCTCAGCGCAACCATGAATATTACGCATATGTATTGAATGAATGTATGTATGTTTCTAGAATTGTATAGTATATCATATTCGGTTGTATAATGTATATATTTCATGTATGTATAGGGTATTAGGGTTAATGTTAATAGTTCTCAATATCACAACACATTTCTAATTAAGAAATCTCTTCTTTTTTCAATAAAGAAAATAAATAAATAATGTAAATTAGTGCAGTAAATTACAACAAAAAAGATAGCTGTTGTAACAATTCGTTCACAATATATTTATATATTCTAGTTATATGCCTTCGAATAAGTCATTCACTAAATTCAGTTCGTTTATGTGTGTTTACTTATATGTATTCGTAAAATGTTGGTAAATAAAAAAATAATAATAGTTGGTGGTTGAGTTAGGAGTTTCAACTAAAAGTAGTCCTTTGCTGGATTATCGCACCTAATCGTTAGAGTTGTTAGTTGTTAGAACCAAGTTTTAAAACTTTTTATACTAAGCAATTTCGTGTGTAAATAGATTCCACAAGTGTGCAGTTACAATAAACGGTAAATATGAGTAACGGAAATGTTAAGCATAACCTCATAGCATTTCAAGTCTCATTCCCGTTCCTGCAAGCAACACCAATACAATTATTTTTTTTTTGTTTATAAATTTTCATTGGCCTTACGAAGCTTTTGTCGCTAAATAAAATTAAAGATTTTGATTTTTTAACTAAGCTTATAATTTCACATTGAATTTAGCTTCGCTTCATTTAATAATTTTGTGAAACAGTTATTTAGAATAAAATAATAGTACGTTTTAACGTTTGAATTTGTATAATTTTTGCGATTTTCGACTTTGCATTTCTTCTTTATTAATCCTATTCAATTTGTTTGTTTCTAACGTTATCCATTTTCGATAAATTTACTTATGTTTGTTTTTTGTTTTTTTGGGTAGGAAAAATTTTCGATTTTCTGCAAGTTTGCCCCCCTATCTGCTAAGGCTTCTTCACTAGTAAATTCCCTGCACTTCTGGCACAGCAAAGTGGGCTATGTTAGTTACTTCGTTTACAAAACTTCCGATTTATTCTATGAAATCAATTTAGGCCAATGGCGGCAGCATTTGTCTGACAACAACATTCGCACCACATATTCACGCACAGCACATAGTGCCGCTTGTCGTTTACGAAACGCTAGCTTATATTTCAATTATTGGCTCTGTGCAGACTTCTCGTCGGCAGTGGCAGCAGCAGCGGCGTTATCGTCAGAGTGCTGCTCCTTTACTGTGGTGCCGCCAGCGGCTGCAGCATCGGACGTAGTTACTGTTGCTGCGCTGCTTGCGAAAGGCTGTTGTGTGAGCACACGCATAAAGTATTCACCGAAGACGGAATGATTATAGGCAATTACGCGTTTTAAGGCAGTGGTATAGGCCTCGAGTTCATCTTGGAAATCCGCATAGCCAGGTGGTGGCGGTGGCAAACCGGCTCGCGAACGTAAGGCCAAACGGAAATATGTTTGAAAACGTTTCCCTATTGAAGCAGATGAAGTTACATGAATGAAAAGTTATGTTTTTCTTAAACTACATTTAATAAATTGTGCTTATTTAAGCATTTGGGAAAATAATACTTACACATTAGTTGACCCACAGGTGAATCCTTGTTGCCTGCCTGCATTATTTGCGATTTCAATAATTCCTCCGTATTATTATCCATCATCGGCTGATTCTCCTTTTGCAAGTACCCATTTATAACAGTCTTGACTTGCAACCAAACGTTTTCTATGGAATCCAAGAGCTCTCTACAAAAGTAAGTTAGTTGTCATTTTAAGTTCGTTTTAGAAAGTTTTTCATTTTCATTTGTTTACTTTTTATTGGTAGTGCCTTGCAATATGATTTCAATTTGCTTGGCAAGTGCGACACGATTTTCAGTTCGTTGCGAAATAATCGGCACACCTGAGCAAATGGAGATGACCGCCGCGCATGTGCAAATACGTTTGGCACGTTGGCCCAGTTTCAAGATACGCTCCTTGTCAACAGATAGCACCTCTGGGAACTCCATAGACTCGTCCCAATCCATAAGTTGCATGTATGCATTGGAGATTGTTTGTTCTGGCGTTGAAGGCACATTATTGACATCATGTGCACAACTGTTCTTCAGCCAATTTTCGGTGGCTGGGAAGCCAACTATAAAGATTGAAGTATTCAAATTTGTATATTTTAAATGTAAATGCCCTCTGAGTTAACTTACATTTGTAATACTCCAAATACTCCTTGAATTTCTTCTTCTCATATTCCACCGAATTGGCCATAATGTCATTGCGTGCAAAATCGAGTAAACAATTGACCATATCTAATTTCATGAGCGCCATTGTTTCCAGTATATTCTTAAAAGTATCCACCACATCTGTGATTTCAGTTAACTGACGCACCATTTCATCACGTGCTGGTGCACAAGACTTAGCCATAATTTGTATGACGAAATTTGCATAAGCTCTAAAATCGAGGACACCCTCCTCGGCTTGTTGCTTTAGTACATCGATGTCAAGTATTTCGTTGATGTGCTGTAGGGCACGTGTATTATTCTGCGAGATTATTTGTGGAAAGCAATCTTTAATCTCAGCCAACAATTGTAGGGCGTAGTCGTAGCGGGGGGGATTTTCATTCAATTCACCACGCAACACATCCCAGAAGGCTTTATGCATAATATCTTTGATGCGGCGTTCCAGGCTGTCGTGTTAAAAGTTTATTGCAATAATTTAGTAAACAATTTTGACATTTCATCCCTTAGGTCTTACCTATTCTCTGGTGGTTCATAAGGCTCGAATTTAAACTCAGGATTAATTGCAATTTCGTGCACCAGTTCCATGTTTTGTATATTTTTGAGCACATCACCCACTTCGTTCAGTGTTAGCACCTTTGGTGGACTACCATCCATGCTGGGCAGAACGAAACGCGCCAGCCTGAAGTAGAAAAGTAAAAATGTATCATAAAATAGATAATATACAGATAT